CACACACACACACACACACACACACAAGAACCATGGCATTTTTACTGCCTTCATAAAAATTTACTGTGCCACAAGAAATTATTAAATATTGAGCTGTTTTTTGCACTTAAATATGATAAAAAGTAGACTTATTCTTACAAGGTCATGTATGTATTGTAATCATTTAATTTTGTTTTGTTTTTTGTTTTCTTTCTGTGTATTCCTGGTTGACTCGCTGTGTAAGCCAGGCTTACCCTCAAGCTCCCAGAGCTCCTCCTGCCTCTGCCCGTCAAGTGCTGAGATGGAAGGCATGTGCCACCACACCCAGATCTTGTAATTTTTATTCTTGACTAAGACTGAGTCATACAATCTCATATGTAAACAAAATATGCATCATTGTCTCAGTACAATTCTCCTGGAGCTACTTAAGTGACTGTTCAGATTTTTTTTTCTAATTTTTAAAAACATAGGTGTTTCACTGTGTGTGTTAGTTATTAATAATTCTTCATCTCTGAGTAGAAGTGACTGAGTCAGACTGAAGTCACTGCGTCCATCTTATTGATTATGTGATTCAGATTTTTATGATCTCCATATCTTCCTGCCTGTGAACACTGCCGTTAGGGAGATGGAGGGAGGTAGAGATGCCCAGGGGGTCACACGGGTGTCCTAGATTTTGTGGATGGAATTGGAAATTAATTGTCTGGCTGATCACCATTCAGAGCTCTGGTGCTCTCGAGTGAGAGTGTCAGTTTGTCAGTGTGCAACTCTTCCTGCTTAGACACTGGGAGTTGAATAATTTACTGGTCTGCTGCACCGGATATTAGCCTAGGAATCTGATGATGGTGTGCGAGCAGTGAAAGCAAGAAGGCCCCTTCTACCCGTCGGTTGGTAAACACAATTTGTTGGTTTTAATGGAGAAGAAGGAGATGTGCCGCGGCTGTCTGTTAGAGGCATTTGCAGAAAACTGACGTCTGTGAAGCTTCTAAGTGGGGTAGCATTTCTGAAGCGCCAGCTGGAATCTCTTTAGAAAAACGCAGTAACTCACACTTTACTGCACATAAAGACACGTCCCCCAGGGCGAACTCTCATGCCATCGAGTTTATGACTCATGAGTGCTGTTCGTTTGTGGTCTAATAAACAAGGAAAGGTGGGAGAATTATATTTCTGTACATAAAGCATCTCGCCTTTCATTATATAGAATAAAGCTGTGGGGCTTTTAAATTTTTAGTGGCATTTGCAAGGAGAGTGTTGTCTGGGCAGTGAAATGCATGAAGTGTTAAAGATACTTAAGCACAATATAAAATGAAGCAAAGATGGCTGTGCCCTTTGTAGCTAAACTGCTGGCTGTGTTTGAAGAACCTTCTTAACACCAGCTCAGGGTTCTGACTTACAGATGAAAGCTTCCTATCCCGTTTTTATTTCCTGTTGTCTGTGCACGTGTGCGAATGTGTGTGGGTTCACAGGTGCCACCATGTGGGTACTGAAGATTAAACTCGGGCCAGCAGGTGCCTTTGTCCACTGAGCCATCTGACTGGTCCTGACTCATGTACTTGTGTGTGTGATCTTCCCACATAACCTCTCCACCCTTTCTTTGGCCCACATGATTATTCTGATGGATGAATTATTTCTTATTATTTAAATATACGGTTTTTTTTTTTAAAGAGAAGTTATGCATTTACCAGAAAACAGAGAGGAAGAGAGAGTGATATTCAGGATTTTCTCGTCATCAGCACACCATACCTAAGTGGTACAGCTGTGAGAGGTCCTCACCCACAGTCTATAGTTTGTATTAGGGCTCACACTTGGTGATTACCTTCTTTGGGTCTGGACATATGGAAATAGTAGTAATTTCATAGTCTGTTTATTAACTCTCTGTGCTCTGTTTACCTCTCCTAAACTCTGAAGGGCACCTGTCTGCTGTGTGTGTGTGTGTGTGTGTGTGTGTGAGTGCACATCTGAATGTAACTGACAGGTATCAGCAAAGCTTGTGTGTTTGCGTGTGTGTACAGGGTTATGTGCAGGTGTGGAGGCAAACTTTGAGTATCTGTCTTTCAAGAGTCATCCTTTTTTATTTTTGTAATATTTATTTATTTCCTTTTATGTGTAAGAATGTTTTGTCTATATGTATATGGACCATGTATGTGTCTGGTACCCACATACCAGAGGTCCCAAGAGGGTATTGGATCCCATGAAACTGGAGTTAAGGGTGGATACTAGCCACCATGAGGGTGTTGGTAATCAAACCCAGCTCCTCTGCAAGAAGAACTTCTCTAAACCTCAGTCCCTATTGCCTTGTTTTGTGTGATAAGCTCTCAGGCTTGGGACTCACAGATCAGGCAAACCCAGTTGGTCAGTGAGTCCCAGGGATCTGGCCATTTCTGCCTTCCCAGCTCTGTAATTACGAATGTACTCTAAGCCTGGGTACTGGGGACTTGGCTCGGGTCCTTATGCATGTGTCGCAAACGCTTTACCCAAACACTGATGCTGGACCTATGGAGTTGTCTCTTCTAGGTTGGCATGTGATAGAAGTCAAACAGTATCCAAGCTTTATAGGCTGGCTTCTGCCACTTCATGGTAGGCATTTAAGTTTCTTCTGTGTATTTTCATAGCTAGAGGGCTCATTTGGGGAGAGACAATACTAAATATTTCTAGAATGTGGTTTCTAAACTATCCATTCTCACCAATTAAACTTTTTTTTTTAATTCTTTCTATTCTTCCCTTTTTTTCCGGGAGGGGGGGCACATGAGCTAAGGTGAGGTGACCAAGACATAAGTTATACTGTTTTATAATATATCAAGGAGATAAAAATGTTCACTCATATAGACATATAACATAGGATAAAGCTACTAAAAACTGTACATCTAAAGAAACTAAGCAAGAGAGAGGACCCTAACTAAAATGCTCAATCCCCATCCTGAAAGGCAAAGAGGATGGACATCAGAAGAAGAAGAAAACAGGAAACAACCTAGGAACCTGCCACAGAGGGCCTCTGAAAGCCTCTGCCCGGCAGACCATCAAAGCAGATGCTGAGACTTATGGCCAACTGTTGGGCAGAATGCATGGAATCTTATGTAAGAAGTGGGAAATAGTAAGAGCTGGAGAGGACGGGAACCTCACAAGGAGGGCAACAGAACAAGAACATTTGAACACAGGGAACTTCCCAGAGACACATACTCCAACCAAGGACTATTCATGGAGATAACCTAGAACCCCTGCACAGATGTAGCACATGACAGTTCAGTGTCCAAGTGGGTTACATAGTAATGAGAAGAGGGACTGCCTCTGACATAATCTGATTGGCCTGCTCTTTGATCACCTCCCCCTGAGGGGGGAGCAGCCTTACCAGGCCACAGAAGATGACAATGCAGCCACTCCTGATGTGATCTGATAAACTAAGATCAGAAGGAAGGAAAAGAAGACCTCCCCTATCAGTGGACTTGGGGAGGGGCATGTGTGAAGAAGGGGGAGGGAGGGTGGAATCGGGAGGGGAGGAGGGAGGGGCTTAAGGGGGGATACAAAGTGAATAGAGTATAATTAATAATAAAAAATAATTTAAAAAAATCACAACAAACATTTTAAATAGAGACAGGGTCACTCTGACAATCATAAACAAAGCATTCAGTGTCCAAAACTCAAAGGTGTGCATGATCCTCTTGCTCAGGTACCTGGGTTCTCTTGGGCATTGGTCAGCTTTGTGCTCACAAGTTGGGGATGTGTCTTCTTTTGCATTTCCACTTCCAAGCTGCTCACCCCCAGAGAACCCTCAAACCTATCTATGAACTATACTGCTTTCAGTCTAGGCCACCATTGTTCTATATGGAAGGAGCTGTCCCCGAACTCTACTATTCCCATGGCACACACCCTCAGTCTTCAGCATCTTCTGCTTCTGGCTTTCTGTCCTCTGCTTCAATGCTTCTGTAAGTTGTACGTGATGGTGAGGAGTCAGCAATCCCTCTGCTACTTCATTCCCCCAGTGGCAGTGCTTTCTCTGATGGCCGTATTTCTGTTTTTTGCAGTTAACAATAACTGAGACTTTCTCAGATTTGTAACTTTAATTCCAATCTCTCCCAAGCATTGGTCTTCCTGGCTTACTTTCTCTGATGTGTCCACACCAAACTCTTTATCCCATTCCAGGATTGGAATTCCATTGTCTTTACAAACTCTTCACTGTGTACAATTCCCTTTGCGTTCTCACCTTCATCTCTTAAATTTCACAGCCTCCAGTAGAGCCATCTGCTTCTTTAAAGCTTTTAGTAAAGCTATTTCTATTGTTATCTAACTGGCAAAAACAGCTCACTTTAGAGGCATATTTTATGTTACTATTTTTCTTTCAAATCTCTACCCATTAGTATTACATAGAAGTGCCTTGAAACTTCGCAAATACATTTGAGTTGATTGAGTCTGACATTTCATTCCTAGTGCTCAGTGAGCAGCGTGATTCACGAAGAACAGTCATCACAGAAAGAGATAAGTAGTTTGTTACTGAAGGAGAAGAATTCATGAGTGCTGCTCTTTAAATGGCCCTCTTGAAGACTCTCTTAATAAAATATTTTTATGTAAACCACTTTGAGGACAGAGGCTGATTTTCATGAGGAAACTGGCTACGTGCCTAAAATATTTGTATTTGTCGGATAGGAGTGGGTTGAATTTAAGTAGAGATGATTTCCTCAAGTGTATCAATTGCAGCTTTCCTTTAGAACACTACAAGCTGTGGTCTTCAATAGTCTGTATATTTTGCATAGAGAATGATGTCATGCTTTCAAGAGTCTCTGCTCTTCCACGTTTTTGCTCTGTCTTCCCTGGACACTGTCTGAATGGACAGTTAAGCAAGGCGCCTTTGAGTGGAATAGGCACTGCCACTTAGGCCTTTTTCTTTGTACTAATCTTGTTTGGTAAGAAGCAGAGCAGCTTGGCTCGCAGAGAATAATGGGACCTTTGAGTGACAGTGGGGGTTCAGCAGGTCTGTGAGAATGTCAGGCTTTGCCAAGAGTAACGACTGTGTCTTCTCCTGTGCTCCCCAGGTCTATCCTGAACTGCAGATCACAAATGTGGTGGAAGCCAACCAGCCAGTGACCATACAGAACTGGTGCAAGCGGGGCCGCAAGCAGTGCAAGACCCACACCCACATCGTGATTCCCTACCGCTGCTTAGGTGAGCGAGGCCCACGTTGGTGCTGATGGGAGGGTGCTTTAATGAGGTCGTAGGGGGGCCCTGCGCATTCAGCATGTTGCCACCACTTTTCTTGTTGGCTCTATATCTGTGTGTTTCACACCTGCAGATTCACCTGAACATGGGTGGAAAATAATTGAAAAGCAAACCCCAAACAGCCCTGTAGCTGTGTTTATGTATTGCTTATATTGCATTAGGTATTATAAGTAAGGAGAGGTGATTGATTCATTTCTTTATTATTTATTGTGGTGCTTGAGGATGAACGCAGGACTTCCAGCATTCTGCTACGACTGTGTATCTCAAGCCTGGGGGCGGGGTTAAAGTATGTAAGGGGTCATTTGTAGGTTATAGGTAATACTTAAATTCTGTGAGACTTGGGATTTTAGTGTCCACGGTGCATGAAAGACCCTCTCCCCCGTGGATACCAAGAGACTACCTTTTACTCTGTTTCGGATGATGCAGCGCTGCCCCATGCTCTTTTAATATAAGAACAGCATTTCTTAGCTCTCTTCCTCAGAATAACTTCCCCAGGTTGATCATGAAGATTCTAAGTCCCCTGGCCAGTCCTGAGTCTGCTGAGTAAAAAAAAAAAAATATGGTGGTAAAGCCGCAGAGTCTTCCCAGTGATTCTCAGTTTTACAAATGGCGGGCCTTGTATATTTCTTCTCAGGATTTCGCAGAAGAAAGAATATAATGTAAGATTCCACACTCTTGCTAATTCATTAAACAGCCCTTTCCCAGAGCATCCCTTAAGTTGTGAATGGTCAGGAAGTATGTCTGATTGTGTTGTTTCCTACTTACTCAGATCAAACTGGAGGAAACTGTGTGATCACAAAGGCCCAGAATCTTTTATTGACTGCAAATTTCACTTTAATTTTTTTTCTTTAAAATTAAGTCATCTTTATTTTGGAAGAGCCATCTTAAGTGCATTTTCAATACTGTCACTCTTCCTAGCTGGTTTTCATGTGAAGAAGCCTGGCATTAGCAGCCCTATTTGACAAATTTCATCTATGTGTTTCCAATTGCAATGGATTAATAAAAAGGTTTTAAGTGAGGGTAGACATCTTTATATGGAAGCTGTAGATAAATACTGATGACTTCTTATAAAGTCTAAAAGGAATCATTTTTAGAAACTTCTTTCTCCCCTCCCAGTACAAGGAAGTAAGTTTGAGTCCCTACACTTTAGCAACAAGGGCTCTAAAACAAACTTAAAGGAGAGTTTAGGATTTGTATAGTATTTGTTTAGCAATGGATCCCATACCAGCATACTGGAGGCTGATGGGATGACTCTGCAGTTAAGAGTACTTACTGCTCTTTGGAAGGACCTGAGTTCATTTCCTAGTGCCCAAGTCAGGTGACACACAACTGCTTATAACTCTAGTTCCAGGAGATCTGACACCCTCTTCCAGCCTTCAGGTACAATTGTAATCAAATGCAGCCCTCCCCAATATATATATATTTCTGTTTATTTGTGTATATAATTTGAGAAATCAACAGGAAAAAAAATGAACCTTAGAATAAAGATCTCATCTGCATTTTTTTTTTTTAATTTATTCAGTGAGTAAATGATGAAGACAATGTTGAATCACATTCTTAACCACTTGATGGTCGGAGCATTTTCTTACTTTTTCTTATTCCTTTAATGCCTTATAAAGCTCTTTATTGTGTGGTTGAGAAGTAAATATTTAATATGAAATATAAAGTAAATAATGTTCAGATCATACTATAAAGCTGCAGCAAGAACCCAGATTTTATACCATGGTGACACAGGAACTATGAAAATTTTAGTTTTCATTGTGATAAACTTCTGTCATTTAGGGAAACAGTCTCACTAATTTGTTTTTTAATACTAGTTTCATCTAGCAAACACAAGTTAATAATGGCAGTGATCTGTCCTCGCTTTTACCTTTAACTATTTTAGAACCATTTCACTGGTTGGGGTTTATAGAGATGTGCAGGTCAGAGATAAGGGAACATGAAGAGGTGACACAAAATTTTCTAAGAGATCATGTGAAAAAACGAGGAAGACTGAATTCCCTGTTGCCTCTGTCTTCAGCAAGGACCAGATTTCTCTTTTATCTTTTGAGTAGATTCTGAGCTCCTTTGATGTTCAAGGAGGTGGGCTACTTGTGACATGCTTAGGAAATTTCCCAGGTCTGGTTCAGCATCTGATATGAAATGAGTGCTCTGACACTAACTGTTCCTGACTGCTAATAGACTAGATAATCATTAGATACTCCCAGTAGGCATTTGGCCTGTTTGAATCTTTTATTGTGTTTCTCATCTTATAAATCCCTGGTCTTTCCTCATTGGACCTGAAATAGACTGTTAGTTGACTGGCAGCACACACTTGTCTCTTGGTTTGCCAATGAGTTTAGATTAGATTTAATCAATGTGGACATTATCTATTTCTTGGGAAGTGGCAAATATGCTACACAAGGCATATAAAATATGCTATTGTGTATGGATGGTGTATCTTGAATTTTGAGAAAAGGAATTAAAGAATGTACATAACTCGTGTACGTATTGATTGCATGAATATTCTAAGTCGCAACTCTTAACCTTAATTTCAATATTCCTTCTCTCCCCTTTCCCCTGGCTTCTTCATCTCTCCTTCATCTTGGTGTCATGTCATTAATAATTGCAAAGGGCATCGATTGGAATTGTTACATTGTGAGGTTGACTTTGGTCTTTCTTCATGAGTATAAATGTCAGTCGACAGAGTGGTTGAATTTCTTGAAATAAGTCAATATGGTCAGATCATGACTAGAGCCCACCATTTCTTGATTTCTCATTATCGGTGTTCCTTATGACTTACTTTTAAAACTAGTATTAGGCCGGGCAGTGGTGGTGCATGCCTTTAATCCCAGCACTCAGGAGGCAGAAGCAGGCAGATCTCTGAGTTCAAGTGGAGCTTGCTCTACAGTGTGAGTTCTAGGACATCCAGGGCTACACAGGGAAACCCTGTCTCAAACCTCCCTGACTCCACCCCCGCCAAAAACAAACAAATTAGAACAACAATCCAGGCTGTGAATTTGAGACAATAAATATTAAAATTCCACAATAGATATTATGTTGATAAAGGTGGCAACTCCCACCTTTGGTATAGGACAAATTGGAGTGCCAAAGTTTTCTGATAATTACAGAGGTAATCAGTGACATTCTTTTTTGTAACTTGCTTCTGAAACAAAGAATTATTGTTTTGTGTTAATCTAAGAAACTGCTGACACCTCTGACTGTATCCAAATATATATTTTAGACAAAGGAGAGTTTTACTAATGTTAATTCTCACAAAGACATGACCTAAAAGCAAGAGTAAGATTATTTTAGACATTGCCATATTGAAATTCAAAACATTCAAAACAAATCTTGAGAAAAACGCCTGTCATTCCTGGCATGCAGCCTCCTGACCTCTGTCTCAGATGAAAGAGTCAGAATGGCACTAGCTGAGTTCTCTCTACACGCCGTGTTTGCCTTGGAGTTACTTTGCTCTGAAATATCTTTAATTGCTTGTGAGATGGGGAACTGTATCATGTTGCTTTTGGCACTTTTCTTCCATGGAATGCATAGCTTTCTTCCCTAGGGAGCATGCTGGTTTTCTGGTTTTACTTTTTAATTTTGATACTTCCAGAACCAGAGTATATGATCTGACTTGATTTCATAAACATCTTATCACATACCGGATGTGGAATTCAAAGCACGTCATTTATCATCACTCAGGGATATGCTGTTGTTGTTGTTTCAAACCCTTTCCATTTGAATGACTTCTCTCTCGTCGAGGTGTAATGGATCCACTATTGAGGTTGGCACACTTCTGCCCTTGTGTTTGACTAGCAGTGGTGCAATATGTTACCTGAGATAAAGCACTGTTGCTTTTTCAAGGCCAAAGTCAGTAACGTAATTCAAAAGAGGAATTAGGAGCTGAGGAACTTCTCGGCAACGTGTCACTCTGTCTTTGTTGCTCAGGAAGATAGCCCAGACGTGTAGGTAGTGATAACCTTACAATTCTCTAAATTTTGAATCTTTCAGTTTGGTAGCGTTTTAAGACAAGCCTGCCTTGTTGTCTAGGTGGCTGCTTCTCTGGATGATCTACAGCCATCTCAGCCTTTTTTAGGGTAAGCCCTGTGTATTTGGTTATCTTACAGATAACTGTACCACAGCTGTTCTCTCAACTTATGCTCGACAGATTTTGTTGTTCTTAGTTTTTTTGAACATAACAAACAGCCAATAATACCATATTTAGGAATGTTAAATAAATGTTACCAAACTTTGAAAGTAGGCAAGAGGACAGAAGAACATTTGTTTTAGACCTTGAGGGTGCTTTAAATGTCCAGAAATCTAAGTGTGGGAATCCAGAGACTTCATGGAAGTAACATTTTTTCAGTTTCAATATGATGAATTAGGTACTGTATTTTCTTATAGTAGATACACAGAGTATTTTTTAAAACATAACTTTTTACTTCTTTTGAAGGTAAGAATTTTATCAAGAATATTGAAATTGGGTTAATAAAGATACTACACCTGACTCATAAAATACTGCTGCCCAGGGCAGGAGCTGGTGGGCTTCTAAAATAATTTTCCAAAACTACCATTAAGAATTTAAGAAATTACATGACAATAGCAGTGAATCTAAAACCCAACCTAAAAGGCATTTTAATACCAGTAGCAGTGGGTGCTATGGCCAAGTATGATGGCACAGGTCTTTAACCCCAACACTCAGGAGGCAGAGGCAGGCAGATTTCTCTGAGGTCTAGGCCAACCTGGTCTACATAATGAATTCTAGCTCAGGTGGGGATGCAAAGTGAGATCCTGTCTCCAAGGGTGGGGGTGGGGGGTGGGGAGAAGAATGCTATGAAATGTTCAAGCATAGGTGATTGGCATGGAAAGTTCTCGATAGTTTTCTCCATAATGGAGATAAATTCTGTTCTCTTTTTTGTCATGGTCACCAAGTAACTCATTAAATGTTATATTTTTTGCATATT